TAGAAAGGTAGCTAGTTAACAACTAAGTATGTGAAACCAGTAACTATAAACCAGCAACAAAAGAATGATTTGTGGGGGGAAAAAATCCCTTTCACAATACTACCAAAAATATAAAAGTTTAATATAGATTTTAGTATTTATAACTACTATAAAGGATTGTAAATCCAGGGAGAAATTGGATTATTCAATGACTGGGATAAAAACAGATTAGCTCCATACCTCACACAACACATAACGTTTAATCTAAAAAGAATAAGCACATAGAATTAGAAAAAAAATAAAACCATCAATACACACACACACGTGAAAATATTGGTGGATATTTGACTGACTGTAGGATTAGAAAGCATGTTCTAAACAGATATAAATGTGTGTACATATTATGTGGGTGTGTGCATGTGTATGTGTGTATGAAATTACCAAAATAAATTCCTGTAGCTAATAAAAATTAAAAGCATTTCTAACTCAAAAACATCATAAAATTATAAAGTAAATAGAGAAAATATAATCAATGTAAAATAAGATATTAATATCTTATAGTAATGTCCAAAAAAGTCAAAGAAGAAGATTAAAAAGAAATAAAAATGCTCAATAAATATATGAAAGGTTTAGTAAACCTCTCCAGTAAGATCTTGCAACATAAAGTAATTTTGGCCTCCTGACTTGGCAAAGATTAATCTATAAATTATACCATTCATTAGAGGCATGGTTGGTTTCCAGTCATCACTCTCATACACCAGTACTGGAAGTGTACACTGGTGTGACCTTTCTTGAATGCAATCTTGTAGAATGTTACAAGAAGCTCCAAAGAGTTTGACTCATTGACGTAGGTCTTCCATTTCTAGGAATCTATTGCAAGTTAGAACTGTGAAGATTTCCAAGCAAGGATTTTCATTGCAGCATTATTTATAAAAGAAAGTTTAAAACAACTTAAATGTACAATAGTAGGAAAGTGGACTATTAGGCAGCCCTAAAAATAATTTTTACAAATAATTTTTGATAACATAGGAAAATTACACAGAATGCTGAATAGTTAAAACAAGAAAGCAAATTCAGTTACATTAAAACATGTTAAAAATATATGTGTATATATATATACAAGTGTGTATATATCTCAAGTACAGTAATACATGAGAGACAGAGAGAGATAAATGTACTGGTATCAAACGTTTGAGATATATTTCTTTAGTGTTTGGTATTTTTTAACAGTATGTTACTTGGAGTGGGATTTCAAATGTTTTTGTCTTCTTCCTTAGATTTTTTTAAATATTCCTACATTTCCCAGAGTACATTACTTTAACAATCACATGGAAAACCTCAGAGCTAAAGATAATGGTTCTAAAGTCTGAGAGCTCTGTGCTCTAGGAGGTAAGCAGGGCCATCTCAGGTTATTCAGGTTGTGAACTGCCACATCTAAGCAGATGTTATTCATGCTGTAGGCATCTAATAAAAGGACTGGAGATGTTTAGCTTTTGAGCTATGCCACAGATCAGAGACTCTCTTATAAAAAGCCACCTGACGTTCACATACTTGAATTATTTTTCATGCACACAATGAACACACGTGGGATGGTTAACACCATGTCTCTTGAATTCCTCGGGCATTGTGCCTCTCTCCCTTGCTTATCTCTTAGATGCCTGACTCCTACTTCAGATTTGACACAGTTGCTTCATCTAAAGGACTTATTCTAGTCTTTGAAGTCCTCCTTTCTTAGGATACTTGATGTTAAGCAAGCCTCCTTTGTCAACCATCCTATCTTTCCAGGTAGAAAACTTAGTTTTCTCTCAGGTGAAGTGGCATTTAAGGACAAATAGTAAAAAAAAAAAAGAATGCTGCAGACAATATCTTAGTTATTAGGAAAATACCTCTATTAATACCAGTATTTCAGTATTCCGTGAAATAACACCAAGATATAGATAACATTCTGAACTGGTATCACACATGAGCCAAATATAGGCTTTGTGTGGTCAAAGGTGCTACAAGAACCTTCCAGCTGAGGGAAGGGCATGCACCTTTTAGTCAGGAGTGGAAAGAAAAATCAGTGAAGGAAAGGATGCATGTGGAGGAACCGTTAGCCTGGGGAATAGCTAAGGGAAGAAATCTGCTTCATCAAATTATCAAGTAAGGGCAAAACTCTGAGAGGAAAATACAAAAATTTAGGGACTGAAAAACCTCGCTGAAAGAGCTGGAAGAGCAAAATTCAGATGCCTCCTGGAGCTATCGCATTCAAGAGCACTCCACCAGAGCCTTGATCCAGATAGAAATGTGCCTCCATGGAGGCTGTGGCCGCCACTGCCATTGGTGCTGCCAATTCTCCCTCAACACCCATAAGGCTAAGCCTGTGAGTGTGCTAAGCATTAAAGACACTGGGGGGATGGCCTCTACCTCATTTCCAGCTAATTAGTTTTGGTTTTGTTTCTCTTCATATCATTGTTTCTGTGGAAAAAATCATTTTCAATTCCAAATAACTAGTTTGCAAACCAAATTGTCAAAAATATTCTGTTTGTAGTTTGGAGTCCATGCGCCCTGAAAATAACAAACACATACCATCCTCTAAAGAAGAACTAAATGAAATAACTCCTTAGGATATGTTTTATAGTCACAGAAATCATATACCTCTCCCTCAAGTTTTTTTAGGTTTATTTTTATTTATTTTGAGAGAGACAGAGCGAGTGAGAGGGAGCGAGAGAGCAATCAGGGGAGGGCCAGAGAGAGAGGGAGATGGAATCCCAAGCAGGCTCCTCTGCACTGTCAGCGCAGAGCTCGTTGTGGGGTTTGAACTCACAAACCAAGAGATCATGACCTGAGCCTAAATCAAGAGTCAGAAGCTTAAGGGACGGAGCCACCCAGGCGCTCCACCCCTCAAGTGTTTTTATATTGGTGGTTACCATCATTGAAAGGGAGTGCATAAACATTTAAATTTCATTTGCAGGACTTGAGGGGGGAAAAAAAGAAAACACACTTTGTGATCATATTATCAATAAATGATTTATCACAAAAACTTGTTTCTTACACCAATGGGTTGTGTTGGCCCAATTTTTTGTTCATTTTTGGTTTCTTGATAAGAAGTTGTTCTTTTGTACTGATATAGGAGTAAGTGCATACCTCAAGTGTAATTTTCAATTATTGTGTATGTAGGCTTAGAGTACATAAATACATCATCTAATAAAAATAATATTTCCAGGGGCGCCTGGATGGCTCAGTCGGTTAAGCGTCCAACTTTGGCTCAGGTCATGATCTCATGGTTCATGGGTTCAAGCCCCTTGTCGGGCTCTTGTGCTGACTGTTCAGAGTCTGGAGCCTGCTTCATATTCTATGTCTCCCTCTCTCTGCTTCTTCCCCCCACCCACCTTTCTCTCTCTCTCTCTCAAAAATAAGTAAACATTAGAAAATAATAGTAATATTTCCAAACATTTCAAAGGAGTACAGGAAAATAAATTTCCATGACAGGCAATGACAGAAGCAGGTATGCGAAATGATGGATATATGTTTTCTAGGATACATGTTTCATTTTTTCGTTTGTTTCAACCTTTTACTTTGTACCAGAAGCAATTTTGGTAAGACCAGAGATACTGATGACGTAAAATCCATAGCAGTTAAATGAAGTAATATTTTACATGCTCCCTTATAAACCATTTGAAAATTTACTTTGAGAACCTCATTTCAAATGTGCCTGCCTTACCACCACCACCGATGGAGTTCCTGTTGCTGTTTTCTTCACTTTTCCAGATGAACTAAAGCAAGAGGAAACTAAGCCCGTTAGCTACTGAGTCATGGTCCAGTTAGAGGGGGCACTAGGAAGGGAATCAGGAAAATCTCCTAGTGACCGATTATTAGCTTCAGTCACCATGCCATCTCTTATACTGCCATTTGGATGAAGAATTACGCTTCTACATGGTGAGCAAGCCTAATGCTAAGGCATATTTTATGCGTTCCACACTATGGTATTTCTGTTTTCTAAGTGAAATGTTGACATACTAGAAGTTATACTTTATCTATTAATGCATTTAGTGATGATACTGGAACTTGTGAAATGTGACAAAAAGGACAGATGGAGAAGAATAACGAGAGGGGACAGGTATCAGTTGATTGTCCCAACAGTATAGGCTTGTAGCAAAGGCAAATAATCATTTGAATTCCTGCTCCTTAATGTGATTCTGAAGGTTGGCTTATCTAAGGTATTTTTGAAGGTCTAATTACTGTCTTTGCTGGTGAAAATCCATCCTACATATAATTCAATTTCTTTTATTAAATTTCTTGCCTGATCTTGAAGACATCTGATATGTTGTAATGCCTATTGTCATACTTCATTTACTGAGAACAAATTCAGAGAGTTTGAAAAATTACCCAACTTCTCCTTTCCCTTATGACAGCTGCCCTCTTAATACTTCTTTCCCTGTGGTACTAACTGAAAGCAGTTTTCTTGCTTTTTCACTTTTAACATGAAGTTTAGATTTCATCAGTGTTCTGTGAAGAATCTGCTCTTGAAGAGTCCCTGTCAAGGTATCTATTGTAGTGCTCGCTCCTACACATGCCTCCAGACACTGAATATCTAGAGAAATACACCCACACCTTTCAGAAGCGCTAGGTGCGTGTTCAGAAATGCCAAGATGGAGAGCAGGAAAGGGTCAGCTGTCCCCCACAGCACAGCACAGGGGTATGGACTTGAAGTTGGAAAAATAAGTGTTTACGTGGAAGGCTTCTGGGTCAGTGACCGTTATGGAGGGCACTTCCACAGAGCCCTGGGCGCCAGCCCGAGCCTCCTCTGCCCGACAGCTGGCACGCGATCCCGGGGCGCCGGCCACCACCGCTGGCGCACGACCCCCAGCCCGGCCCCGAGCGCGCAGCCTTACCTCTCGTCGGGGAAGCTCTCCCGAACGCCGCGGCCACCAGCGCCCCACGCCGAGCAGAGCACAGGCGCCGCTCGCCCGCCCACTTCCCTCCGCCGCCGGGTGGGGCTCGGGGAAACGGCCCGGGCCGCGCCGCCCCTCCCCGCTCACCTGCTCGCGCTCCCCCAGCGGCCGCTGCCCGCGCCTCCGCGGGCTCGCCCCGGGCTCCCTCTCTGTCCCCGCCGCCGGCCGCTCCGCCAGCGCGTCCCCGTTCTCGTCGCGCTCCCCGCCGCTGCCGCCGCCGCCAAGCAGCTCCCCGGCCGAGCACATCCCGTAGCCAACTCCCACCGCCGGGACGGCCACCGGAGGGGCCAAGCGTGAAACGCCAGGCAGCGGCCGTCAGCCGAGGGCCGCCCTGCGATCCGCCGCGCGGCCACCGACAGGAGCCTCCCAAGCGCGCCCCGCCGGCCGGGGTGCCAGAAGTACCAGCCCCGCCGGGCCTCGGCTGTCACTCGCTCGCCCCGCCCCGGCCCCTGGGCGGAGCGCACCCGGAGGAGGGGCCACGACGGGGCGGAGCCAACGGGGGCGTGAGTGCATGGGGTGTGTGTGTGCGCGCGTGTGTGTGTGCGCGCGCGGGTGTGCGTGTGTCCTAAAACGGAGTGTGTGCGCGCGTGTGTAAGACTGTGAGTGTGTGTGAGACTAGGTACGGTAGGAAACTATGTATGCGTGTGAGAGAGATTGTAAAACTGTGTTTGTGAGACTATGTACATTAGCTGACTGTATGTATGCGTGTGAGGTTGTAAAACTGACTGTGAGACTATGTACATTAGCAGACTGTATGTATGTGTGTGAGAGAGATTGTGTAAAGTGAGAGGTGTGTGTGTGTGGCTGTTAGTGTGTGAGAGTGATTATGTACGTAACAGAGAAATTAGAAGTTTGTACGTGTGTGACAGTGTGTGTGTGTATGTGTGTGAAAGGTTAGAAAAGGAGTATGTGAGAGCGAAAGTGTGTATGTAAGAGACTGTGTTTGTGAGGGAGAGAGGAGAGCGTATGTGTGTTGGGGTGTGTGTGTAACACACAGTTATTCCCCAGTAGGGTACCTCTCTTCTTGCCTGGCACTGAGGCTGTGCCTGGCTGTGCTGCTGGATGCCTGTCCTGAGTAGCCCTGCGTCCTTTGCAAGTAATACACATTTCTCTGTCCCTTTTGTTCCTTTTGTCTTCTGTCTATTTTCTCTCTGAAGCTTTGTGTCTTTGTCTCTAAATATTTCTCTGGTGTGTGTTGGTTGTTGGAGTCTTGGGAGCATTTGATAGTGTATCTGCCTTTTGTATATTTCTAGAAATGGGCAAGAATACGTCTCTTTTAGTGGGTGGTAAAGGGGATACAACTAATTTATAAATCTTTTCCTTACTACCTGTGATATTGTGATTTATAATTAGAAATATACAGTTGACCCAGGAAGGACGCAGGGGTTAGGGACACTGACCTGCACAATCAAAAATTCATGCATAACTTTTGACTCCTCTAAGACTTACTAACCAATAGCCTCCTGTTGACTGGAAGCCAACATAAATAATTCATGGGCATATTTTGTACATTATATATATTATATACTGTATCCTTATAATAAAGTACTCTAGAGAAAATAATGTTACTAAGAAAATCATAAGGAAGAGAAAATACCTGATAGTACCGTAAAGAATCCAATCCACTGATACGTAGACCTGCACAGTTCAAACCTGTGCCGTTCAGGGGTCAACCATATATTTGATTTTCATCCCATTCTGAGCACAGAGCTCCTAAAACCTTGGAATTTCCTAAGTGGGGAGAGTGGTAAAGTGTCTTTTGTTATGCTAATGAACAGTCTTTTGGAAAGCTCCTAGGTAAGTATGGATGGGGGGCTAGTTGCCAGGATAATAGACCTGGTAATTAGAGGGTTAGAACTTTTAGTCCCACCCTCTGAACTGCAGGAGGGTAGAGAGGTGTTGGAAGTTGAATCAATCAATGATGGCCGATGATTTAATCTATCATGTCTATGTAGTGAAGACTTCATGGAACCCAAAAGGACAGAGGTTCCTGGAGCTTGTGAGTTAGTAAAGATTTGAACGTGCAGGGTGAGTGGTTCGCACAGAGAATGTGAAAGCTCATTGCCCCTTCCCATCTATCTTGTCCTATGTACCTCTACATCTCGCTGTTCATCTGTATTCTTTATATTATCCTTTACATTATCCTTTATAATAAGCTAGTAAAAGTTTCTCTGTGCTCTGTGAACTGTTCCAGCAAGTTACCTGAACCGATGATGGGGTCATGGAAACCTCCAATTTAGAGTCAGTTGGTTGGAAGCACAGGTAACAACCTGGACTTGCCGTTGGCATCAAAAGGAGGGCAGTCTGTGGCACTGAGCTCTTAAGGTGTGAGATCTGTAATCTTATCTCCAGGTGGAGAGTGTTAGAACTGAGTTAACTGCTTGGTGGTGTTAGAAAATACATATTAAACTACTCTAGCCATTTTGTTGAAGGGAAATTGGTGGGCCTTTGAAAACAAGCTTTTTATATCTTTGATCTGTTCTTTGAGAAAATGATACACTATTGTATAGATAAAATATCAGGCTATTTGTCAGTGGAAATGGACTATGCCTATGTATGGAGGAGAATAAGAGTTTTTTGGGATCTTCTATTAAAATGTCTTCAGGCCCAGAGAGGGAATTAAAATAGTCAGAAACTTCAAGGCTTAACAACTTACTTCCTGTTTTTTGGAATCAGCTTATAGAAATGAGAAAACATGTCTTTAGATATCACAAATTACAAAGAAAATGAATTTGGTTTATTTCTTCCCTTGAATGCTTTTAAAAACCCAGAAGAAATAAACAAAAATATTAAAAAAAAAAAACCCTGTATACTTAAAAAAAAATAAAAAAGAAATAAAAACCCAGAAGAAAGTATTTAATATTATATCTATATAAAATCAGAAACAAATGTCACAATGGGAAGCTAAAAACATTCCTGATGGGTATCATTGCTATTCTCTAATGACAACATTCTCATTCTTGACATTTTGCTCTGGATTTTAGTGGTGTTTCTAGAAAAAGTGGCCTTATGTGTGTTTTACAAAAGCTTTATGATTATATATGGTGGCACAGAGAGCATCAACCTTTTATTGACAACTCTTTGGAGCTTACAGCACATTTTGAAGTTCTCCCTCTTTCTGCTTGTGTCTGATAATGTGATAAGTCAAGCAGCTATGCACTCTTTAGTCAGGCTACAGAGGGAATAGAAATTCCTTAAAGGCGTGAGGACTCAGAAGGCACAGAATATATATAGCAGGGCAGGTAAAAAGACCAATATAGAGCTTACTTTTGTTTATCTTGGGGGTCAAATCTTACAGAAGTTCTTTAATCTAGAATATACCATCTGGCCTTTCAGAGATACAGGCTTCTTTGAGAATTATATTCAGTCATTTTACAAGTATTTATTGAACACCACTAGGCATTAGGCCTAGATGGAGATCCCTACTTTTAAGAAGCTTCCATTTTATCCTCTTTCCAATTCTAGTCTGCTTATCTGGCAAAAGCCAAGAACTCTCACCAAAGGGTAGCCAGAATCTTCTCATTCTTGCCCATAACTGATGTCACAACCTTTTCTTTTCCTTAGTGTCATCTACGTTTCATTTAGTGAATGAGTTTCCCTTTCAACTGTGATTCATTTGTTCCTAGAGACTTTGGTCTTTCCTGGAGACTTAGGAAATCACCTCTTTAAAAAAATCTCATGTAGCATTTTGTGAATAAGACATTATTCAGGTTTGAGCCACATCTTACGGAAGGGGAGGGCTACTTTCACTGGGCTGCATGATATGGATAATATACATGTAAAGCTATTATTGCCAGTTTCCCATGACAAATATATTTGCTGTTACCTAGGCAACTATAACATGCTGGTCTCAAATTGTGTAGTTTAGTTGTGATTTTATTAGTGTATTTGCCTTGTGTTTTCTCAGGAATTAATAAGTGGCAAGAAACTGATGCCTGTCTAAGGAGTAGCCTATGTAGTACAAATATGTCTTGTGCAGTTGCTGTGGGAACAAGGACTTTTAATCTCTCACTTTCACACCTTTAATATCTTATTTTTAATGTTTTTCCACTCTTATTTGGATGTCTTTCCAGAGAGGAAAATGAACAAATCAGAGCGATCTGTAATCATTTAGTAATGTAATTTTAGAAAAATTAGTGCAGTTATTTGTGAAAACTTCATTTTCAGTTTTCGCAAACTGTGATTTTAATTTATGTTTCCTGTGTTTTAATTTTTGCTTCTTATATGATTTTTTTATGTGCTTCTTTTTGTTAAGCAGAGCCTTCAGTATGGGAAGTTATTTTTGAGATGTTTGGAATCTTACTCAAAATTCCAGGCAAAGGTATGGTTTCTGGATTGATATATATATAAATTTATTAAAAAATTTTTTATTAATGTTTTTCTATTCTTGAGAGAGAGAGAGAAAGAGGGAGAGCTGGAGCACATGGGTGGGGGAGGGGCAGAGACCGGGAGACACAGAATCTGAAGCAGGCTCCAGGCTCTGAGCTGTCAGCACAGAGCCTGACATGGGACTGGAATCGATGAACCATGTGATTATGACCTGAGCTGAAGTCAGATGCTTAACTGAGTAGCCACTCAGGTGCCCTGATATATATGAATTTAAAGGAAAAGGAACTTATTGGCTAACTCTCACTTTCTTCATCATTCTTTCAATTTCAGGAAGCTATATCAGAGAGATGTTGAACTAGTACTTGCTCTGTGTTCTCTAGCATTCCCAGAGAGTCCACTCTGAGTCAGAGAAAGGGAAATTTGTCCTTCTTCCTGGAATTAATTTGTAAACTTTCTGTTGTTAAGGAACAAAATTCAACCAAGTAGATTTTAAGAATCTTATTGGCTGTATTCAGCAATTTATAAATTGAACAGCATCCAGTATAATAGATAGAAAGGAGCTCCAAAGAATTTTTCAATTGAAGAGAGTTTTATAGATCAAAGCGAGCAGAAACAAGGAAGTTATACCGGATATTTGCTGACTGGAGCAAAGGGAAGTTTGGAGCTGGGTTAGGTAACTTGTGTTGTGTAGGCAAGTGGTGACTCGTTGATCTAGGCCTTCATTTCCTGGGAGAGCGAAGCATAGAAATTTAGTTAAGTTTTGGTTTGCTAACATGGGGCTGAGTATGAGTGGACTGCAACTAGGGCCTAATTTGGTTACTTTAACACTGTTTTGTTCTCTTCTGGTGTGACTTTGCAGCTACATGCCCTGCTGAGTTCTTTCCCTACAGTAGGAATAGAGATTAAGAGTTGGTTTTGTTTAAAAGAAAAAAAAATTGAGAAGGCTATTCTGATTCACTGGTAGAGGTTGAGGGGGAAGGAAATGTGAATAATTATACAGTGCCACTTAATATATATTAGCAATTTTTAATGTGGACAATGCCTTAGGGAAATGGTTAA